TTTAAGTCCATGGCGGACGCGATGCTAGATAACACCGGTTCCCTAATTAGGTAGTCCTTGCACAATATCGCCTTCCGTCCATTCCGCCTTGCCAGTAAGCCTGTTTGCGATTTAATCTCTACACAGGGAAGTTATGCTCTGTCTGAAGTAATCTGATTATCAATCAATTGTAATTGCGCAAATTAATTTCACTGTAGATAAATCGAATCAAGACCATGTGCGATTGCCGTCTACACGTGTGTTTTATTTCATTTATCGATGTATATAAAAGATATATGTAATAAAACAATTCTCCCTCTAAACACGTATATCTTGCATCAAGATGTAGAAGATTGTGTCGGGTTGCACTTATTATGTGTATTTTCTTAATATTTGTTTATTATTACTTGATATTTGAAAGAGACTTTCCATTTTTACAGTACAACGTGTACTCCAAACAAAACAAAACGCTTTAAATTCATTCCTCATAGAAAATGTCTGGCGCGAAGACTCAGGGTTTGAAAGCATTTGCGGCTCAACGTAACACGCGATTATTAAAAAAGAAGAAAATTCGAATTTAAGACGGTTATTTATCTAATTTCAAGGTTATCTGCAATTTTAATATTCTCTGCATATATTCTATAGTGAAAAGGGAATTAACAACGCCATCTACGAAAGTCCTCTACTTTAAATAATCACTCCCAGGAGTCATGGGACTTTATCACTATTTCAAAGGATGTTATAGTCTGTTTGCAATGAAAACGTACCGATGAATGTCAGTTTAAACCAAAAGGTAAAGCAAATAAAGTGAAATTAAGACTGCGAATCCTCATGATTTTACCTTGCCAAATGAACATTTAAATCTCAGAATTTTATTCGACTTAGGATAAAAGTTGTTTAACAAACGATCATAGTCTCGCATGGCTATTATTGGTTTGTATTACAAGGGGGGTATGCACATCAAATGAAACACCGAAAACGACAAGGGTTGTTATAAGTTAACGCTCTTCACGTACCGCACGTGCATTTGTTTCACTGTTCCAACTACTGCGCTTACCCCATTGTAATGCAAACCAGTAATAGCGATTTGAATCTATGATCGTTTGTTAAACAACTTTTATCCTAATTTGAATAAAATTTTGAGATTTAAATGTTCAATTGGCAAGGTAAAATTATGAGGATTCGCAATCTTAATTTCACTTTATTTGATTTATTTTTTTGTTTAAAGTGAAATTCATTGGTACGTTTTCACTGCAAACAGACTATACGTTGTATTTTAATCCAGCATTGATATTTGGTGAACAGTTAACTCATTGTTCTCGATAACACTGCTCAAACATTTATCAGCTGGACATATATCTGGTTAAGACAATTTTGAACGACTTTTATTTTATTTCCAATGTTTATCAGTGGTATACTTAATAGCCCTTCTTTAAAATGAGCATTTGAAGTAAGACAAACATGTCCTTATATGCATTTATCAAAACCGCGTTTGCCTTGTTTCAATGCCCCTTCGTCCCGGGCCACAAAACATCTTGGACACCAGTGACGGAGAGGTAAGAAAATATTCGTAATATTTGCAAAATATTTTATCTGACGTTTCTACAATAAACCGACATGTTATATCCGTGAAGAGAATTTTATCACAGTTGATCTCAGTAACATGTAATTTTCACTGTTTTCGTTGATTACAACCCAGATGTCCCTGTCATGTAAATACCCTTCTAAATATTACTAACATTGATTCAAAGATTCGACATATCACCAGGGTAAAAATCAATTTTTAACGAGCAGGTCGACAATGAAATATCCCGCAGTGTGTTCGGAATGTAAATAAAACACTTTTACTGATATATGTGATAAAATTATGTAAAGAAACGAAGGAATTTTAATATGTTCACCTCTACTTTGATGTTAGGCAAAAGTTGCCCGAACTGTTGTTCCGCCCTCAGCTACCGTCTCAACTATAATAAAATTCGTCAAGTATTATAAAGATATCAATTTTCATCCTGCTGTGTTGACTCTGATTGTAATTATGATTATTTGTGTTAGCAAACAAGTGCTGATGACCAGCCCCACTGTCCAGCAGCGCGACCGGGGTACTTAGCTTGCCAATGAGTGTCCTGACCATGTATTGTTTACAAGTTGTTTCTGTCTTGGGGGGTCTCTCAAGAGGCGATATTTAAATTCGCATTGTAGGCATTGAAACAATGAAATTAATCGCCTGCAATGTTGCTGATTGCCCAAGGGGTTTAGATGGGTGCTGATAAGGCTGCGCCCTCTCCACCCTTCCCGACATGCCCCGCGGTAATCTGCACGTAGTCCAGGCGGCCAAGGGAAGTAACTATGTGACCGACTTCCGGTCTCTTCTCAGTTTTCTACAATGTCGAGACGGCACGATGTGATTGGGTTGATAACAGTCGCAATCATAAGGAAGGGTCATTCTTGGAGGGTTGTCAGGCGGGTGATTACGACGGGTGAAAACTCATGTCGTAATTCCGTCTTACCATTAACACATTGGAATCAATGCTGAAGTAAAAGATGCCAAAACGGCAGCACTGTTTGACTGGAAAGTTGAGTGGCTATCCCAGTAACAACTGCTACATCTAAGGGTGGAGTCAGTTCTTGACATACTCCGGGGTCATATGGCTAACAAATGACAAAATCGGAAAGAAATGTTACCCACTGTGAGCCAAAATACTGGCAAAAGTGTCCCTCTTTTCCTTCCAACAGTCCAACGGAATACAGCACCCCGCATTAAAAAACTAAGCTTAACAGAAGCTGCGCAATTCTCAATATATTTTAACATATTTTTAATTTATGTTTTCAAAGTCCCCTCCCCTTTTGACCCCCACAAGAGTACGTGACAAAGTTGTGAAACAATGCAATGCTGCAGGTAGGAGCTGGATTGATTGCTTCCTCGCCAAGAGTGGCTTTCTTGTAATTATTGTTGTGTTCTATTGCTATATCGCCCTAGATCTCAGCCACATAATACAAGTGCGATATGGCATGCTGTAATGGTGCTACCGTGTATGTAAGCTGTAATCCACACCGCCCAGTTCATACAGCCCTTCGTCTGTGAATGCTACATTGCTACATCTTGTTGGTGAGGCGTACGTGACGTGTCATCATACAGTATTGTACCGTTAGGATACATTTGTAACCACATCCTCTAAAGAAGTCAATCCCAAATTTTCGAAAAGCTGTTTAAATGTAAGGGTATGGCATGGCGGAATTAGTGTCCTGTTAGGACCGGGAGGAATATCAGAACAATTCCAACTATGCACGCTTTTCACCACACCCCGGTGTATATATAATATATATTTTTTTAAATGCGATTTTTTAAAATTATAAATATATTTAGGACATCTATTTCCGTACAAGCTGGTATTATTGCTCATTCCGCGATCAGCATTTAATTAACTCGCTTGACACGTAAAACATAGGAAAAAACCATGGTATCTGGTGATTTGACTGGTTTTACCACCTGGCACCACGCAATATTCATGAAAAACACGTTTTATGTCTCCGTTATTAAATCCATTTATAATTTTGTGTCTACTCCTCTGTGTTTTCATATCCCGTCAAAAGGTCATTTTAAACCCACGACAGGATCATGTATCCCAGTCGCGTGAGAAATGTAACGATGCATGAAGCAGCACCAGTTATACAGGTGCAAAATTTAAAATATTCTTAGCAGGTGATCTAAAACTATCGACTCTCCATTAAAAGAAGATCGTAAAAGATCCTGACCACCTCACTTCCGGTCAGTTTGTGGTCACGCCCGCGCGACGTGCGGCATGAGTTAAGAGCGACCCTCCGATAATGTAAACACATTTAGACGCGCATTAAAGTGTCGCCGCACTCGATCAAATTTAACCGATATTAAGACATCAGGTAATTCATTTATTCAGTAATTCAGTTTGATAATTTTCTAATCTATTTTCATGTCTTTAGAGTTTTGCTCAAAATGTGAAAAATGATTCATTCAGTAATTCAATTTGATATTTTTTCCTGTCTATTTACGTTTAAAGTGTTTTGTTCAAAATTTTAAAAAACCCACAGCATCACCACCACTTATCTGTACAGAGAATGTATGAGATGGAGGTGTTGATCAGCCATACCATGTATCTTTGGTGCCTATTTTATGGCAATATTTCGTGTGTTATTAGTTGTGTTTACCAAAATCAAATCCTTGTTGTTGAGTAATGAGTTGAGTTAGTGAGTGATTAATTGATTCATCGGAAACATGTCAGCCGCTTTTCGGCCTCTTTCATGACAAGCTAAAATGTGAAAAACTAAAATCTGAAAATATTACACGAAGATTTACAATCGTGTAAATATTCGAAACCTATTAAGACGTATGTGAAGGAACAATCTCACTGGCATTGTAGGTTTCTTCCCTTTGTCTACATTTTAAATATATGAAATTCACATGATTAGACACAAATACATGTACACACAAGCACGCACTACCCTCCCCCCCCCCTTGTACACTGGTACATATACAATATATGTATCAAATATAGAAACACCAACCACAATGGACAGAGTGTATGCTGGATAGCGAGGCCACGTATTGGTGACCCGCTATCAAGTTCTGCCTAACATTACAATAGGTGTGTACATTAACGACACACCACGACACCTCACATCCACGCTCGGTCTGTTTAAGTCCGTCAGTAAAATCTTATTGATTAAATTGAACACATTACTCATTGTACAGACATGTGTTAAGGGAATCTGTCTTGTGAACCAATATTTGTTGGGGAATATCAACAACAAATCCACAGCTTTTTCAGAAACCCAATTATCACAGTAATCTACTGAACAGTTGCATACCGCGATACCCGGTTGGAGTGTCCACCCAAAGAATGCAAATGTTCTGAATACGTTACTGGGTTGAAACCTGTCGCGGAAACATTGCAAACCTAGCTTAGGAAACACAGCTAGAACCCCCGCAATATATAATACACCACCACTGAATTAAAATATGTTGTTTGTTCTATACGTGTACTTACAAACACTGGTGCAGACATTCTTTCTCCCGCCAGGTTAAGACACCTCGGAAACAATTAGCCATCGTTGGTCATTTGTCCATCATTAAAGGGATCAATCTAAAGAAAGTCTCTTCATTCATAGTTAATAAAATGTATGTCACATTTCTACAAAACATTGTGTTATACGTATCGTTAGCCCTTTAACTGGCGGCCTGACATTTAAATTTACAACGATTCCTGCCCGGTCCGCGACAGCTCGAGACCTTGCCCGGGTACTTTACATTCAGGATATCAAACTTAACGTTGATGGTGGTGTCGTGTAAACAAAGGTTAGGATTTTTATAGACAATTTGACAGTGCGCAATAAAATGTTATTGAAGAGGACCCGGAACAAACTCTTATTTTGTTGTCGCTTATTGCATATTATCACCCCGCTCTTGTTCACTACAGTGTCCGTAAATATATTGTCTTAACACTACACAATGGTTGGGGACTGGGCAGCGCTGTGATGAAATGTTTGTCAAATACATACATCCATAAATTAAGAAATAATGTAATCTATTGGTATCATTATAAAACCGGTTATTCCGTGACGCTGCCAACTCCAGGCTTGCGGAGAGCGTTGTCCACAACATACTACATTAAATCATTCCCATTATGCACTGGTGATAAAAACAATACCCGGTGTATTCATTACAATTATTAAAGTATGTACAAGGGGACTTGGAGAGCATAATCGTGATAGTGCGAGTATATGACAAGAGTCGGACGCTATATGCAACAAACATGCACAATATGTCATGTCGCACAGAATATAAAACAACACATGTTCTTCTCCTCCATGACAGGTAGTGCTGTAGATTGTGTTCTTCTCCTCTATAACAGGTTGTGCTGTAGATTGTGTTCTTCTCCTCTATGACAGGTAGTGCTGTAGATTGTGTTCTTCTCCTCTATGACAGGTAGTGCTGTAGATTGTGTTCTTCTCCTCTATGACAGGTAGTGCTGTAGATTGTGTTCTTCTCCTCTATGACAGGTAGTGCTGTAGATTGTGTTCTTCTCCTCTATGACAGGCAGTGCTGTAGATTGTGTTCTTCTCCTCTATGACAGGTAGTGCTGTAGATTGTGTTTCCAGCTTGACTACATCGCATCTGAATATAGTGAGAGCCTTGCAGTCACTTCGCAGGGGAGGAGGGACACACATCTCTGTGACCGCAATTAGAGGAATGAACATTCACCTTCAGACGATGCTTAAAGTATGTGGTCATGGTCATTTTACAGACGCTTCAAACATCACCGCCTACCTATTTGTGTTATGATTGAACTCTCAGAGGATTTCAGAAACTATTTGTCACTTCATGTCATTTTGTTTCATGTGTATCCTGCGTTCCTAAAGTTTGCTGTCACACAGTTTGGTCAATGTTTGCAAGTTCAGTATGTTTTATCATGCACTGTACTTGCTGGGGATTAGTTAGTCTACATAGCAAGGCCACAGTTACAATGTTAAGGAAACATGTACTCCCAGGCTTGGTAATAAGGGCCATGACTGCTTTCTAGGTGCGTGTGGTGGTTATCCTTAGTTGGTTATCCCTTGTTATAACGAACATTTCAGTGTTAGGATTCTCTAAGAGTGTACCTATCTAGTTAGCTTGTTATATTTTCAAAAGCTTTCAATTCTTGTTGAATTCACGTCGGTTTTAAACAGCCATGTAACCATGGAAAAATAAATGATTTCATTCAAATACAACGTGATTAATTTTTCAATATTTTTGTGAGCCATTTGCACACCGTTATTGAGAGAGAGAGTAAAACACTTGGCAAAATATTCCACGTCATCGATATGGACTGATCTGCATACTGGATTGTGGGGAGCCTTTATAGCACGCTCTCCCAAAAAGGAAACGCAAAGGGGATATTGATATGACATTTCAAATTTCCTTTTCAAACTTACTGTTTGATTGTTATAATTTGGCTATTATAATGCTGGTTTGTGTTTATGGAACGAATGCACAGCGCAATAACGCATCTTCGGAAAGTTTAATGTGCGTTTAAGTGTCAACTTGCTTGAAAATGCATGGACAAAAGTGGTTTGCAATATGCAATATGCAATTTTGAGGAAACGTGAGCAGGGACATTGTCTATATAGACCGTTTTGCTTTTCGACGGTCATTGGCATTCTTAGCAAAACGAAAGAATACCGCCATGCCGTGACTCTGCTGTAAATCGAAATATTGCCATTGGACGTCTGGAGGCTCTCAATTTACCGTTGCACGCCACCTCAATGTTCACCAGTGTACCATCAGTCACCCGGGTACATGATCTGCGGAATCAAACTGTCACAGGAACTACAACTGCAAAGTGCCATGCTGGCTTCAGGGGAGTGCCGGCTCAAACCATTCGCAATCGTTTACAAGAAGCCTGACTTTGAGCCAGAAGACCCTATTTTGGTCCTGCACTGCGACGGCTACATCGACGTTGACGGGTCCAGTGATGCAATAACGTTCGATTCTGGAATCTACAAATCCGGAGACGTGTATGGTTCAGTGACGAATCAAGCTTTCTGCCTCAGTGCCGTGGCGGAAGTGTCATGTCTATCGACGTCGAAATAAACGTTGTGTCAAGAATTCCGAGCACTTGCCAACAGAGGGCGTTGTTCCAACACGATAATGCCAGGCCTCACACATGCCAGGCCATGCGCCGGTCTGTAAATAATCGAGTCTGGACCAGACAATCCAGTGATCCCCACTATCCAGACGTCAAACACCATTGCTGCACCATCTCTCACCACGTCGACGTCAACAACAATCGCTGCACCATCTCCCACTATCCGGACGTCAACACCATTGCTGCACCATCTCTCACCACGTCGACGTCAACAACAATCGCTGCACCATCTCCCACTATCCGGACGTCAACACCATTGCTGCACCATCTCCCACTATCCGGACGTCAACACCATTGCTGCACCATCTCCCACTATCCGGACGTCAACAACAATCGCTGCACCATCTCCCACTATCCGGACGTCAACACAATTGCTGTTCCACCACCCCGGTATCAACCACCATCGATGCACTACCTCCCACCACCGTTTACCAACATCGCTGCACCACCTCCCCCGTTCCCACACTGCACCACCTGCCACCATCTGCCCCTCCGAAACCCTACCATCATGATCATCCACCACCGTCACTGCACCACCTCCAACCACCAACAACTATAGGCTGCCATACTGCACCACCTCCAATCACCAACAACCATAGACTGCCATACTGCACCACCTCCAACCACCAACAACCATAGGCTGCCATACTGTACCACCTCCAACCACTGACAACCATAGGCTGCCATACTGCACCACCTCCAACCACCAACAACTATGGACTGCCATACTGTACCACCTCCAACCACCAATAACCATAGGCTGCCATACTGTACCACCTCCAACCACTGACAACCATAGGCTGCCATACCGCACCACCTCCAACCACCAATAACCATAGGCTGCCATACTGCACCACCTCCAACCACCAATAACCAAAGGCTGCCATACTGCACCACCTCCAACCACCAACAACCATAGGCTACCATACTGCACCACCTCCAACCACCAACAACCATAGGCTACCATACTGCACCACCTTTAACCACCAATAACCATAGGCTGCCATACTGCACCACCTCCAACCACCAACAACCATAGGCTACCATACTGCACCACCTCCAACCACCAACAACCATAGGCTACCATACTGCACCACCTTTAACCACCAATAACCATAGGCTGCCATACTGCACCACCTCCAACCACCAACAACCATAGGCTGCCATACTGCAGCACCACCTCCAACCACCAACAACCATAGGCTGCCATACTGCACCACCTCCAACCACCAACAACCATAGACTGCCATACTGCACCACCTCTTACCACCAACAACCATAGGCTGCCATACTGCACCACCTCCAACCACCAACAACCATAGGCTGCCATACTGCACCACCAACAACCACCAACCACCATAGACTGCCATACTGCACCACCTAGCCTGTATCCAAGCTGTATGTTAGAATCAGACTGTCGACCTATCCATCACCATCATTACATTATAGACAATATCCCGATTAAATTGCAGGAAGAGTGCTGAGTGCTGAACTTCGGAAATATTTGCCAGGCGCTTCAAACACCATGCTCGAGCCGCTGTCAAGTGTTTCACCGTTAGCCTCCAGCGTCTACGCAGTACTAACTACTGTGCTACATGAGGTAAGTTCACCAATACAGCAGAACAGTACTATATACAGACACGTGTGGGGAGATAGACACATAACTGGACTGGTACTCACAAACACAAATCAGACCTTCCTACACGATGATTCCGAGTGACTGGAACTGTGGTGACGTAGTCACTGAAAATACATGTATATAAAATACCTGAAACTGTAGAACAGATGCGTGTTTTACTAGCCCTGTGCTGTACGCGCCATGTGAGGTGAATAGTGGTATGTGTTGGTACTTACAGCAGCCTTGGAATCACATTCTGAAGAATATGCACAAAGAGTCACAAAGTAATCACATCCTCTTTAGTATGATTACTGGACAACGAATGCTAGATGTATAACTATCTTCTTACCGTAATCATTCTTACAGTAAACCTCTTTCTTTTCGCGCAAAAATAACAGATATACCTTAATATCCAAATATGCATATGAACATGCCATACCACAGGGCATACAGGCCTTCTCAACACCTACTCACAGACACCTATACACAACACATTGTCCATTCCAAACATGAAGAGCATACTCTGCAAAACATCGGGATTAAGCAGCTCACACCCAAGCAATCCCAAGTAAAGGAGGTACAGGAAATGGGCGTTTCTGGAATAGAAACTAAGGAACGATTAAACACAAAACCGCGCCAGGGAACACACTCGTGCACACGCAAAAATGCAAACTTCGCAAAACCCATATACATTAGGGCGAAATTAAGCTACAGTAACGACAAAACACGCTCTTCCGTGTGTAGACTCAGGATTACCAAATCCACACAGTGACAACAAAATTGCCTGCTCCACGGCTGCCTGTTCTATAATAGGGGTCTGGACATACTGTACTGTTACAGCTCCGACCACACCCCTAGCTGGTAACAGCAGCTCCATTCACAAGCTGGGCCGGTTACAGCGGCTCCATTAACAAGCCTAGATGGT